ACCCGATTCCTGTTATGGTTAATGATGGCGATCTCGATAAACTGGACACTACACACAAGGCCGAGCCCTTTTCTGTGTTCTTTCGGTCGGTTTTCATCAGGGTAACTGCCTTCATTGTACCTAGAGGCAAGACCACGCGAGCGCCAATTATTCAGGATATTCTGTTTCAAGAGGAAATGATCTTTGAAGAACTAAATGGTTAAGAACTTTTAGGGGCATTGGCCATGGTCGCAGGTAGACGACTGTGTCTGCTTTGCCCAGTTGGAAAGCTTTTTCGACGACGAAAATTCCCCCTCCCTTAGGGCCGCACCGGCGTATTCATAAAGATATAAATCGGGTGACACTCATAACTTGGTAACAACTGACGTGAATTCTGCCTCACTCTATGATGGAGCAGGATTGGTAACTTGCTTCCCCTTGCTGGTTAGCTTCGAGGTTCTTCAAATTTTTCCTTCTTTATGAGGATATTCGGCACTTTTCAGTTAAAATGTTGATGGAAAATTTATGAATTTTTTGCTGTCCTCCAGAAAAGCCATAAGAATAACAGTCAGTCAGTCAGGCGGACTCGCCGGTAAAGATCCTCGCAACCGACCCGTCGATTAACTGACGCGGACGATTCTTCACACGGTTTTCAGTGTCTCGTGCCAGAAAAATAGTCTTTTTCAATTTTGTGGGTCCTAGAATCCCCTATTTATAATTACTAATAAAAAGGTTTATTTGGAAATCACATCTTGGGTGCCGTCAAAACCCCGAAGACTAACGATCCAATCGCTATTTTTTTACAGGATCGTGCACATGAACTTAACATCCATAGCAACTGATCTACTATAGTTAAAAAATTAACTTGGTCACCTGCAGTCCATGCCACGTTAATTTTCGGGTTTAAAGCAAAACAAAGATATGAAGCTCAGCAGCAAGTAATTATGGCATCTCATGTTAACTTTTATTCGGAATTTTTGATTCCATATGAGTTTATTGTTCTTTACCAGAATGTTCAGGCTCCTTATGCATGGCGGATGTACATGCCCAAATCGTTATTTGGCAGTTTAAGTTTAACAGTTTAACCTGTTTCTGCTACTCATGTCTTTGATGATATATCCACGATGGATGTCGAAACGTCAGGTGAATAAACATCTTGTCCCAGCGATCGAGTCTTCTTCTTCTTCTCCTCAGTTTAAGTGCTGCCGTTCGTTGCCTTACAAGCTGCATTTTCTTAAGTTGCGCTTATTCATACTCACGCTGTTTTCTCTGTTAAGTAATTTGTGCATCACATCAGTATAGGTTATGTTAGAAAAACGCCAATACGTCCGACAGTCCTATGAAATGTCAATACCTCTTAGATATTGACCTCGGAAATTTTGTAAGTGTTCATAATTTCAAGGCGGAGGAAAATTCAAATAAGAGTGAGGTGTGTATTAGCCCATACTATCACAACAATGAATTTGATCGCAACACGGCCGCTCAGGCGATGCAT